GACCCTGTACATAGGCACTAGAAACAAGCGAGAGTTCCTGCGCGGAAGCCTGCAGACAGTTTGTACCTGTGGAAGGTGAAGATATTTGAATGCCAGGCGGCCTGAGCACCCAGCCAGAGGGATAAGACTCAGCGCTGGGGCTGCAGAGTGTGCGCGTTAGGCCCTCTGGCTCAAGCATAGGGAAGAGGGTGGAGACAAGCAGATTGGCTCGCTCCCTTCCATCACCGCTGGCCATGTTGCCCTGAACTGTGCCTGGCACAGCCGGCGCAGGCCTCGCTCAGACACACTCAGGATCTAGCCCGGTTAGAGTAAGGCAGCGGGTGGGCCTTCGCCAAGAGCAGGGGGTTCCAGCTTTCCTCCCATTCGCGGTCCCTGGGCAAGGCTGGCTAGAGCAATGCAAGGCCTGGGTAACAATGGGTAGCAGCGGCACTATGGCACCGCACACCGGACACGCTGCAGTCAATAACGGACCCACCCTGGCACTGCAGCAACCAGCTTTCTTCCTTCCGTAGTTATCACAGCACCCATCCCTGCAAGGAATTCAACGCAGCGTCCTCCACTCACTACCGCTTTTCTTATCGGACACTGCGGCTCCTCCCGAACCTCACCGCCTGGGTGGAATCCCACAGTGGAGGCAGAGTTGAGAGGACCCAGAACATCACTTTGCAACTGGAGAATGCCAGTAAGCGTCCCTCGGAAGTGTGCTTTCTTTGTAACACTGGCCCTGGCTGGGGCGGGGGCTAATGCCAGCTCCCTTGCTGCTGCCGCTGGGTTAGCAGGGGGCCGCATGAGCCTCCTTAGGAAGCAAACAGCTGCTTCCCTGTGATGCAAAATCTACCGCTTGTGAAAGCAGCTGGACTGACATCCTCAGTCCTGCCCAAAGGACGACAGTGGCAGGGGAGGCTCCACATGTTATCCCGCTACTGTGGCCCCCAGCTCTGCCCCAGATGGGGCTAGCAGAAGAGAGGAGCTCAGTTTCCACAGCCATTTAGCTCTGGGCCTCTCTCCTGGGTCTCCCAACATGGCAGCAGGCAGCTGGTGGCACCTGTGCTGGGGTTTTCTGTGACATGGACACCACCATGTTTGTGTGCGCGCACGTGCATATATGTATGTGCACACATGTGATCTGTTTCTGAGGTTCCCTTGGCCCTGTTGAATCACACGCCCCCTCCACCCATCTGCCCCACCTATTACAAGCCCCAATAACTCCGATTGTCACATTGTAATTCCAGTCAAATTGGATCCGCTGCCGCCTGATCAAATAACATTCTCTAAATCCAACGGTACCCTGACGCTGACACTGCAGCAGCTAGATAACTGGACTGTCAGATACGAACCGTTACGAAGGGAAGCTCGGTACAGACGGATGAAGGGCACTGAATGGACACAGGTGGGTGGAACAGACACAGTGACCCGCCCTCAGAAAAGTGAAGTCCCAAGGGGCAGGGATGCTAAGGCGGGTGACCCCAACCCTGCTCAGGCTCACGACGTCTCCTCCCAGTAATCCCACGGTGAGGACGCTGGTTGCGGAAGCTGATGGTCATTAATGGTCATTACCATTATGTAAGTACGTCTAGTGCACCCAGGGCCTGAGCAGCTCAGTGCCCTGGTGACGTATTTCCCGCAGCCCAGCTGCTCCTTCCATCTGTTTCGTTGAATAATAACGTCTCCCCTTCTTTCCCAGGGATGGATTATGCTCTCACCCGTGACAGGATCTCGGGCTTGTTGGCAGGGATTACATAGGAGGAAAAACCCAGATAATAATAATAAAACCCCGCAGTTTGTTTCCAGTGAAGTCGTTCTCAGACACTGCACCGGCCAACAGCACCCAGGCCCCAGCACCCCACACCAGCGCTGGGGGATGGGGCTAGTGAGGGCCTGAGAGGCCAGTTAGTCTCTTGGGCTCACCTGAGCAGGAGGACCAGGGTTAACAGAGTGAAGCCCAGCACTAGAGAGCCAAGCAGCTGAGAGCAGAAAGGGGCTGCTGGGGAAGGAGGCTGCAGTCGGTCCCTGGGATGAGGGAGATGTCAGGGACAAGGAGAGACTCCAAGGGGAGAGAAAGCCCAGAGAGCCTGCCCTGGAGGAAGGACTCTGGCAAGAGGCATGGCAGGGGTGAAGTAGCCACAGGGAGTAGAGGAAGCTCCAGTGGCAAACCCAGAAAGAGGCAAGAGGAGAGAGAGGCTGGGCAGGAAGGAGCCCAGGGAAACAGCAACAAGGACTGGAACTGAACAGACCTGATTGCTGGGTCCCTGGGCTTGAACTGATGTAGAGGGTGGGCCCGGGTTCCCCTGCCAGCCACTGGTGTCAGGGCATAGAGCCCCGGGCTGGGGCTGAACGCCATCTGGAGATAATCATTTGGAGAGTTGTCCTGTTGGGCTTTGTAATCCCGGCAGAGGTGGATTAAACAGTGACCAGGCCAGAGGGCCAGAACTTGGATGCTTGCTCCCAAGTTCTCATTTTTTAGCACTGCGATCCGCACTGTTCTGGGATGGAGCAGGTGCCTCGATCCTTCTCACAGAGCAATGAAGCTGCAGGATTTGCTCCTGCGGAGAAAGTGCCAGCTTTGCCCCTGACGGTCTCAGACTCTCTCTCTCCTGCTGTGTTTGTTTTGCAGAAAACTCCTTGCAGGAGGCTCATAAGAGGTGGGCTCCCCACCACCAAAGCACTTTCCAAGAACATGTGAATGGCCAGACTGGGTCAGACCAACGGTCCGTCTAGCCCAGTGTCCTGTCCTCCAACAGTGGCCGGTGCCAGGTGTGTCAGAGGGAGTGAACCGAACAGGGCAGTTATTGCCCAGTCCCAGTTTCTGGCAGTCAGAGGTTTAGGGACACTCAGTTCATGGGGTTGTGTCCCTGACTATCTTGGCTAATAGCCATTGCTGGACCTGTCCTTCATGAACTCATCTAATCCTTTTTTGAACCCAGTTATACTTTTGGCCTTCACAACATCCCTGACAATGAGTTCCACCGGGCGGCTGGGTGCTGTGTGAAGAAACACTGCCTTTGTATAAGCCTTGTCCGGTTTGTTTTTAGGTGGCGTGTCAGACACGAGGTGAATACAAGGGTAACAACATCACAGGTCAGCTTATCATACTGTACCCTCGCAGATACAGTCAATGCCGTTTCAAGCTCTTGCTCCCAGCACAGCGCGAGAAACACCTGCTGGGAAGGCCTGGGGACCCTCCCTGCACCTTCTGCCCAAGAGTTCCTCTCGATATCACTGCACGTTCCTAGGAGAGGAGCCCTCTCAGCCTCCGAATCAACACCGCTATTGCCCAGCTCTGGTTTATGTATGAACCAGATTTGTGCGGCTGCTCACAGCCTCTAAGCCCTCGCGCTGAGTCCCCACGTCCCACAAAGACCCCCTCGGAAGCGCCAGGGGAACGGATACACAGCCCTCAAAGGGAGAGAAACCGAGAGCGGGTGTCATTAGAGGAAAGCGGTGGCAAAACCTCTGTTCTGTGAGACACGCTGCAGCTGGGGGAGTGCCCAGTCGCCTCCTCTCTCCACCCTCTGCTCCTTTCCAGGCATTCAGAATTACAGCTGCTGATCAAATCCATGCACTGCCAGTCACTCAAACACCCACCTGCTCCTTCACGCTCTTGCTGGGCGGTAATTTCTCATCTGACACGAGCGTGGCCTTAAGCCCCCAGTAGCACCAAGTAAGAGTAGTGTCCCATGAATTCCGTTCTGATGCTCAGGGGACCCAAGCCTCTCTGACCCCACAGGCCCAGGCTTCGGCAGCCAGAAGGGCACGGTGCACACACGAAGCTGAAAACTCCTGCTGGATTGTTCACTCAGTCCCCACTGTCTTGGTTTTCTTTAGTGATATGCAACTTGGGAACAACAGCAGCCTGCGAAGTCCAGATTCGGCACAAAACGGCCCATTGGAGCAGCTACTGGAGCGACTGGAGCAAATCCATCTTTGTTCCTGAGGGTGCGAGATTTCACATGGTTCACTCTGTGGGCTGAAGGGCTTAGAAGAGAGGCTGCCTTTGGGGGAGGGGAGGAAAATGAAGTTAGGCAAGAAGTGGCAGCTGAGGGGAGGAAAGCCAGAGGGCAGGACTTTGCAGAGATAAACGAACAGGTGGCCAGAATTCCCTGCTGTTGTTCCAGAAATTCCAGAGGTGAATTACACGGTGGGGAGACTCGGGAAGAACGGGCAGAGAAACGTGACATTCCATTGGCAGGTAATGCAGTGTGTGGATGGGACACAGCTCCACCACCAGACACACGCAGTCAGGTCCGGGGACCCTGTCACAATGCAGTTCCCGTGCGCAGTGTGAATGGGGCCTCAGGTGGTGCTTTAACTCCCCTGTGACAGGGCTACGTCTTGTCCAATCAGGATGCAAGCTGTAGTGCCGACATCCTCCCCGACTCAGAGCCCAGATGGGTCTGTGATGTGTTCAATCTGATGGTGGTTACGGCCGCAGTAACACAGCAGCTGTGACAGCAGCTTCCTGGTCACTGCATGAGGCCTGCAAACAAGCCCAGACTGCACGAGCATTTACCCAAGACACACACACACAGAGCGCTTCAGGGGAGCCAGGATCTTGTCACTTACTGTCACCCTTCCAAACCCCTGTCAGGAAGCCCATGAGGAGCAGTGGAAAGTCACTTACATGCTGGCTCTCTACATGCCAGCGTGCAGGTGCACAGAGCTGAAGAAGGAGGTCCCTGAAAAGGACGAGACGACGCTGACCTTGGCTCTCTCTGGGGCAGAGTATCACCTTTCTATGAGCGCATCTAACCCAGCAGGGAGAGGTCCTGTGCAGACGTATCGCATTCCTCCAGAATATCGCACAGGTACAGAGACCTTGGCTCCCCCTCCCGGCCTCGGACCAGCGGTCCGTCCAAAGAGCCACTACCCTAACAAGTCTCCTGAAAGGACCAGACCCATTCACTGCTGGCCCTGCTGCCGTGGCCCCAGACAGGGACTGAAGACAGAGCATTGGGTTCCATGGCATAGCAACTCACAGCCATTTCCCTGGGTTATTTCCTTCTTTGGGATTTTAACTAACTGCATCCCCAAAGCTCTCCATGTTGTGAGGCCTCTGCCAGGGAGACAAGCGCCCACATCTCCCTCTCTGAGCAACTGCAGGATCGGGGCTTTGGGTAGATGGCGAACAGAGAACTAGACTGTGCCCCTGCCCCAGTGCTTCCTGCCCCTGGATGCCGTGAATTTGGTGCCATGTCTTCATGCCGTTGGTGCCGTGTTTCTGCTGAAATGTCTCCTTGTATTTCCTCCAGAAATGAGCTTTCTGAACATCAGCTCGGCTGGCAGCAGCGTGACAGTGCAGTGGGCAGCAAAGACCAATGGGACCTTCTACTGCTTTGAGAAGCAATCCCTGGAAGAGCCACAGGAGGACCAAGAGGAATGTATCCACAAACAATTATTTGAGAAGGACAGCTATGTGGATACAGGTAACAAGGACAAAACCCACCTCTTTAACATACCTTTCTTCAGCCTCCCTCTCCCAGCGCCCTCCCAACGGGGACCCTCCTCTTCTGCTAGTTGTTTGGAAACTAAATGCCCCTGTGGTAACAGCCGGCCTGATCCAAAACCCCGGCAGTCAGCCTGAATCTCTGCATCAGAGTCGGGAAGAGTCAGGGTGAGGCAAGTGCATGGTTCGATCTGGTGCCAAAGCCAGCCGTGCTTTCCAAGTTCAATTTGCAGATGAGCCCAGCTGTCATTTGGGGCCTGTCCATGTTTTGGCCTCTCACAGTGTTCCTTTACATATGCTGGAAACTCACTCGACTTGGCGAAGTCGGGAAATTAGCTGAGATATGCAGTCTGCCTCTCAGTGACTGTTGTGGCCCAGTCCTAGTCACACCATGGCGCAGCCAGGCCCTCCCCTGGGGATCTGGCAGTGCAGACAGAAAGGTCACTCCCATCCCCTTATCTGAGGGGGGCGTGTGGGGAGGTTTGATGATGTCTCCTGGTTTTATGCTCCAGGGACAGTGAAACCCAGGAAGTGTTACAGAATTGCCATTCACGGAGGGGGACCAGAGAAGCACTGGACGTTCGGTTCCATGTACCACTTTGCTACAAACAGTAAGTCTGCATATGGTGTGTTTCCACTGGGGAAGGGCAAGACCCACTAAAACTGCTTTTATCACACAAGTGCTGGGCAGGGTGTGATTCACAGATGACCTGGGGTAGGCAGGGCCTGTGATCATCAGAAGAGAGGCGCTGATGGTGGAATTATTTCTTTTTAAATGCATTGTTCGGGGGAGGGATTCTTTTCTCATGTTCTAAAAATTGGCCAGTTGCACGTAGGTAATAACCCCTCCCAGAGCCGAAACACCCCTCCCTCCGTGCAGCCTTCTGCCCTCACCCAGGGAGCAAGAAATTATTCATTATGACCCTGCGCAAAATGTGCTAGGCCCCTCAGAGAAACAAACAAAGCCACAGTCCCTGCCCTGCAGAATGGACCATCTCAGTTTTATGTCACGCAATAAGTGCATGACAAGAACAGATGCAAGAGGGCAAGGGGAAGTCCTCCCCAGCCCTACACAAGGGGCCTTTCCCAAACCCGCATGGCTCGCAGGGTGGCTCTTCAGAGCACTGGTCTGTCTTCGTGGGAAAGCAAGATGCCTGTATAATCCTCACTCCGCAGAGGCAGGAATTCTTTAGGGACAAGCAGCCCTCTAAGGGCTCAGTTTGTGTTCAAGCAAAGGCTGAAGACTCATGTGGTCAGTTCTTATTTTCCCTAAACCATTTAGTTTGTCTCTTGTGATCCAGTGAACTGAAGGTAGCAGGTTATGGGCAGATGAAATGAGCCGGGATGAGAAGATCCATGGCTTCCCGGCCTGTTTTCTAGCTGGGAATCCATGTGCACTCAGCCAATTACTGCTTTTCTTTCCTACCTCCCCTTTCACAGCTTCTTTTGATGGGCCCATTCACATCCGGAACATCACAGCGAACTCTGCTTTCCTGCTGTGGAAGCCGTCACCGCTCTCCCAATGCCCCGGCATGCTGAAGAAATACATTATCTGCTACACAAGCGAGCAGGACAACGGAACGGCATGTGAGTGTGAAACACTTCGCTTTGCCTTTCTCCCTTCCAACGCGTTACCGACCCCAGCGGGCTGCGGCATGGCCAGGCTCACAGGCAGGCAGTCCGCATGACCGAGCTGGGCAGAAATCAGACAGTGAGCGCACCTGATTCTTTTGTCTCCTGCTCTAGAACGGTCAGTGAGTCCATGTGCCAAATAGATCTAGGCACAGGAGCGCAGAGAGAAGCTGGGCAGGGCAGGGAGAGAGAAAGAGAGACGGGAGGAAGGAAGGGGGCTGATGGGCCCCTGTTCTGTAGGTGGAGGGTGTGGTAAGCAGTTTAAGAATTGAAACTGGGACAAGCTGTTTCAGAAAGAAAGCAGAATTGGGAGGGGTTTCCATGCTGTTGATAGCTCAATTAATCAGTCTTCATCTAATCAGGTCATGAAGCGAACTCCTCAGCGACACACTACACCCTCCAGGACCTGCAGCCCAGCACCTCCTATCGAGTTAGGATTCAGGCAGCCACAGCAGACGGAGATGGGCCCTGCAGTCCCCAGCACCTGTTTAAGACCACGAAGCTCGGTAACAGCCAGTGGATCCTTCCCTTCATGTTTGCTTGGCCCAGGGCGGGAACTGAAGTGAACATGTTGCAGGAGCTGTCACAGACTCGTGTTAGAGGGACTCAAGCAGCTCAGGTGGGAGCTGTGCTCTCAAGCCCGCCTGTCCCCCCAGGATCGAGATCCAAGCTACAGCCCGAGCCGCCATGTCCTCACTGCTCGAGCCCCCGCTAGCCCCACTCTCTCCCCTGGGGCTGCTCACTTCCAACTGCAGTGTGGACGTTCCCAGCAGAAACAAGGGACCAGCACAGGACACCAACTCACGCCTCTCCTGGGAAGGGTGGCGTGCCAAGGAAAGCAACCAGGGATTGTGCTGGGGGAAGGAGACTATCCATGTTCATGCCCTCAGAGTGGCCACCTCGAGGCTCAGCCATAGGCTAGGCTAGTCCCTTCACTGCCTTCTTGGCTGGGAACGAACGCCAAGTGCTGTCAGCGGGACACTGGGACCGGGGCAGGGTGAGGGATGGTCACTTGTACAAAGCCGGCATGTTTTCCTTGTCCCATGTAATGCCGGTTCCAGAGGGCTCTAAGAGCAGAACTGTGTTTCCTCCTAGGTCCCAACCCTGCAGAGTGGAAGCTCAACCTCAGGTACCTCAGTATTTTCCTAGGCGTCCCTGTCCTGGCTGTGTTTTACCACTTCATCAAAAAGAGGTGAATGCACGGACTTTGCTCTCCCATTGCTCCCGTTCTTCCTGCCCTTTCGCTCTTCTGCAGTTAACCAACCTCTGCCATCGTCTTCCAGGGCCAAGAAAGTGCTGTTCCCGCCTCTGCCCAACCCCAAGGACAGCGAAGCCATCAAGTTCCCAGCTGAGGAGATGAGCCCGGTGAGTCTCTGACCCCGAACTCTCACCCCTGGGAAGAAGCTACAGGCCAGGGGGGAAGGAGATAACTCATGAGACACAAGTCAGACCATTGTCCGAGGGAGAGCAAAGCTGCATGGGGAGTTGTGATCAAATCAGACATTGCAGCTCTCATGTAATTGCTGAACAATGTGCCAATAAAATATTAATTTGAACACATCTAACCCCCAAACCCTGCCCCAAAAGGCCTAACATAGGGAGGGAAAGGTCTGGACCAGGTGCCATAGATATACAGACCCACAGTCAGCAGCAGGATTTGAAACTGGGTCCCTCAGCTCCCAAAACACAGGTCTTTTCCCACCCAAGTTCAGGAAGCGCTCCCCAAGTAGCAGGCTCTTAGAGTCGCTGTGGCCAGTAGTTAGAGGGAATCCAATCATAGGCCCTAATTCAGCGTGCTGCACATGTGACCTGCGTCCCAACAGCCTGGTGGCCCAGGCAGGGTCTGAGAGCTTGGAATTGTGTCGCTTCTTGCCTGAAATGCACCAGGGTCTGTTCTGCCTTCGGCATGTCGACAGGATGGTTTGTACTCAGCGCACAGATGACTGACACACACATGCCGCACATCAGGCTGTTTTGCACTGAATACGTGCTTTGTCCTTTCCAGGTGAAGCCCCGGCTAGGCTTTGTGGAGCTGTCAGAGAAAGTCAGCCCCACAGAACCGCTGGTGACCGAATTTATCTCAGACAAAGGGGAGCCTGACACGAACACAGAGACTCGCTCGCTGCATCTCTACGCCGGGACTGAAGAAACGGCAGAGATGTTACAGGCCAAGGAGGGGCAGGCAGGCTCTGAGAATGACCTGCCATTTGAGTATAGAAGGCAGGTGCTTCTGACCCCAGCGGAAGAGGAACAGGAAGAAGATGATTTCAGAGAATTCGCTGGTGTTTGTGGTCAAAATAACCTTGCCGAAGTAGGCACAGGCCCTTCTCAGCCCCACCCAGATGAGGGTGCTGCCCTGGAGCGGACAGGGCTCTCTCGGCCTCTGGTGCAGCTCTCCTTGCTGCTCTCAGACAAGCCCGTCATAATAAAGAGTGGGGGCAGCTTTGATCTTTGACATGATGAGTGAGCCTGGTCACAAGGGTTCAGCTTGGGACAGCCTGGGAAGACCGAGGGTTGCAGTGACCCCATGGTGCAGGACATAGGAGCCTCAGCAGATCTCCTGAGAGACTTCCGACCTCAGCCTCTGTTTTCAGATTTTGAGTGTGAACTCTTTGCCGCAGGGACTGTCTTTTATTACACGCGCCCCAGTCCCACAATGAAATACTGAATAGGAAGACAGGTTTCAGAGCGGTATCCGTGTTAGTCTGTATCAGCAAAAACAATGAGTTGTTTTTACTGAATAGGAAGAATGAACTGTTCAAACATCCTTTATATTTTGATGTGTGAGAAAAGGTCCCATAGTCCAGCCATGGTCTCCTATTTTCTCATATTCCAGAGCCCCTTTCCTTGATTAGTATCAGGGGGTAGCCGTGTTAGTCTGTATCCGCAAAAACAACAAGGAGTCTGGTGGCACCTTAAAGACTAACAGATTTATTTGGGCATAAGCTTTTGCATCTGAAGAAGTCTTTTTTTTAGCCACGAAAGCTTATGCCCAAATAAATCTGTTAGTCTTTAAGGTGCCACCGGACTCCTCGTCATTTCCTTGTTTGATATTCTGTACAGTAGCAATAACCGGTGGTCGTGCTTTTGCAGGCGGGAGTTTCCTTACAGAATGGGGATCATCTCATCACCTAAGAAACCCCCAGAGGTTTGTTCTTGGCACTGATCAGGAACATGAGCATGCTCCTCTGTTTGTAAAGGTCTGTTTCAGGAGACCTTTGCGTTCCCTCTGCTGCCCCACACCAAACAACCTCACTTTCAGCAAGAGAGAATCCCTCAGGTCACAGGCCTCAGGAGCAGGGTGTGTACTGCTCGCGATAACCATGTACCACTGAGTCTCTGAGTCAGGCCTCGCACCGCAGACCCTATTGGAAAGGATATACCAATCGTTGAACAAAATCATTCCTGGATAAAGTCTTTGGTCACTAAAACTGACAAGCTGGTTACAGATCCAAGTCTCTGTTCACTCACTACACACAGAAGCACAAATACCCAATAATGCCAAATGAGGGGGTGGTTTTAGGATGCAAAAATGGAGACTAGGATCAGCTGGAGACTAACAAACGTATCTTCTTTTCAGACTTGTGCTAGGGTTTGAAGTCAAGTCTTTAGAGCTGAGACTAGTTCACTCAACTGCTGTGCCAATGACCCCTGCCAGTTTAATACTACGAAGCCGTTGTTTGTATAGTACAGGGGTCGGCAACCTTTCAGAAGTGGGGTGCCGAGTCTTCATTTATTCACTCTAATTTAAGGTTTTGCGTGCCAGTCATACATTTTAACGTTTTTAGAAGGTCTCTTTCTATACGTCTATAATATATAACTATACTATTGTTGTATGTAAAGTAAATAAGGTTTTTAAAATGTTTAAGAAGCTTCATTTAAAATTAAATTAAAATGCTGAGCCCCCCGGACTGGTGGCCAGGACCCGGGCATTGTGAGTGCCACTGAAAATCAGCTCGTGTGCCGCCTTCAGCACGCGTGCCATAGGTTGCCTGCCCCTGGTCTAGTAGGAAGCTTGGAGAGCACCAGTATGCCACACACAGTAATAGGAGCAAATCCTTGACTCAGAGTTTATTCCATGAGTGCAGCTCAGAGACTAGCTTTCATGTTTCAAGCCTAGGCTGTTGCAGGTAATTCGTGTCTTATTTAAGGCAAGGTTGAATCAGCACTGAGGATTGAGGGTTAACTTGTGGTTTGGCCTACATGATACATTTCTCGGAGACAGTCTCAGTGCATGCTGAATGTTCAAAAACATTTAGCAGCTCGGGAAAGTACAGGGAAAACCTGATTCTATCAGATGCTCAGCGACCTTCCCTGTACAAAAACGTCAGCGGCATATGAATCAGGCTCAGTGGGCACACAGCCACCCGAGACCCAGTTGCGGAGCCGCCGTGTCCCTCACCCTGCAAAGATACCAGCTGCCTAAAACGGTGGATCTAGTCCCAGTGCCACTGGTTAATGCACGTGCAGAGCTGCTCGGCTCATACAGTACCAAAAATCACTGTCCTGCAAAGTGCTGGGAGTTTGTAGGGTGAATTTATTATTAATAAATCATTAATGTGCCAGATTTTAGTGACTCTCTTTTTGCCTATCTTCCTTATCCCCCCCCGCCATAGATTACATGTAACACCCCACCACAGAGTAAAATAGATAGCTCGCCTCAAAAAACAATTATATAAAACAACAAAATCCAACTACAACAAATACTGTGGTACTAACCTAGTGTGCAAACAATCGTTCTGCTGGCACGTTGCATCCCTTTCTCCCTCACTCGCTCTGTCTATTTAGATGGGAAACTGTTCGGGGCAGGGACTGTCTCCTACGTTATGTTTGTGCAGTGCTCTGATCTTGACTGGGCCGCTGGGTACTACCGGAATAGAGACAAACAACAAGCAACGGTGTTAGTAATGGGATTGTGTCCCTAGAATCCACGTGTGATCCCAGCAGCCCCTAGCACTGCCTGAAGTCCACGGGGTGCTGTGAGCGCAAGTGTGGCTTTGCTCCAATCTCGTCGGAATTCCCATAAACAAGAGCTTTGCTAGAAAGAACCAGGAGATTGTGGGCATAGAGCAGAACAGTTTTCCTGGGGGTGGAGGGAGAACTAATCCCCAGGGTGAGATCTCTGTAGATGTAAGAACATTACAATCCAGGTGACAGTCATTTGCTCACAAATTCCCTTGGAGACAAGCCCAGAGCACAGAACCATAGAAGATTAGGGTTGGAAGAGCCCTCAGGAGGTCATCTAGTCCAACCCCCTGCTCAAAGCAGGACCAACACCAACTAAATCATCCCAGCCAGGGCTTTGTCAAGCCTGACCTTAAAAACTCTAAGGAAGGAGATTCCACCACCTCCCTAGGTAACCCATTCCAGTGCTTCACCACCCTCCTAGTGAAATAGTTTTTCCTAATATCCAACCTAGTCCTCCCCCATTGCAATTTGAGACCATTACTCCTTGTTCTGTCATCTGCCACTACTGAGAACAGCCGAGCTCCATCCTCTTTGGAACCCCCCTTCAGGTAGCTGAAGGCTGCTATCAAATCCCCCCTCACTCTTCTCTTCTGCAGACTAAATAACCCCAGGTCCCTCAGCCTCTCCTCATAAGTCATGTGCCCCAGCCCCCTAATCATTTTTGTTGCCCTCCGCTGGACTCGCTCCAATTTGTCCACATCCCTTCTGTAGTGGGGGGACCAAAACTGGACGCAATACTCCAGGTGTGGCCTCACCAGTGCCAAATAGAGGAGAATAATCACTTCCCTTGATCTGCTTGCAATGCCCCTACTTATTCAGCCCAATATGCCGTTGGCCTTCTTGGCAACAAGGGCACACTGCTGACTCATATCCAGCTTCTCATCCACTGTAACCCACAGGTACTTTTCTGCAGAACTGCTGCCTAGCCACTCGGTCCCTAGTCTGTAACAGTGCATGGGATTCTTTCTTCCTAAGTGAATGACTCTGCACTTGTCCTTATTGAACCTCATCAGATTTCTTTTGGCCCAATCCTCCAATTTGTCTAGGTCACTCTGGACCCTATCCCTACCCTCCAGCATATCTACCTCTCCCCCCATCTTAGTGTCATCTGCAAACTTGCTGAGGGTGCAATTCATCCCACTATCCAAATTGTTAATAAAGATGTTGAACAAAACTGGCCCCAGGACCGACCCCTGGGGCACTCAGCTTAATACCGGCTGCCAACTACACATCGAGCCTATACTTAGGGTGAGATGGGAGTTTTGCCATTGGCTCCAACAAAGCCAGTTTTTCATCCTTAGTCTTTATAATCATTTATCACAGCTCACTCCCTGGCCTCTGGCTTATCTGGGCTGTTGTGACCTGACTAGGGGACTTTCTCAACTAGGGGAGGGAGCAGAGCGTCAGGGCTTCTGGAAAATGACTGGAGAGCTCTTTCCTCTTAGACCTGGCAATGGAAAGTAAGACTGTTCTTCACCCAGTCACCAACACTGAAACTGTAGCGGCAAGTTAAGAAACCTATCAGCACTCTGCATCATCCTCTCACTTCCTGATGCGACATCTAGCTCTTCTGCTCACTTGCTTGTCACTTTTCCATGGACTTTAGACACCGACCTTATCATCATCAATAGTCACCCACCCTGGTTTTTTTCTATTCCAAGTTGTACAGCAATAAAATCTCTGTTATTTAGAAGCTGGGAGCCCCTTTCATTCTGAGTGAGGACAAAGTGCTTTACAGACGAGGCACATGGATCGCTTCACCCAGCATCAAAATGTCACCACTTCAGGATGAAACATGACAGCTGCTTCCAAACACTCAGCCACGTGTACGAGTGTTTAGAGCATGAAGGGAATATTCAATCCAACTGAAACACCAAGGAAAACAGAGGGAGCTGGAATGCAATGATCAGAGCTGGAATTTGGCAAAGGCACCAGGATGAACAAGATTCACTCTTGTGGAAAGTGCCATGAGATTTTTAATAAGCACAGCTGGGCAGGACCAGTTTTATCCTTCCTTCTCTAGTAGGAGAGTGTCTCCTAACCCCATGCTTGGGCGCTTCTTTCATTCTAATTCAGAGGGAAGGATATCACCTGCGGAATAACCATCACCACTTCCTGCAGCACCTGGGCATTAGTGGTCAGTCTCTTTTCAGAGTACCAGCCATCCTCACGGGTGCGCAGCAATGTTGGCCCTGACAGGGTCCTAGCACAAGATGCTGCTAAGGGCTCTCCGCGAGTCTAGTCACAGGTAGCCTGAATTCTGCACAGCTGGAGGAGCCACATCTGATAGTAGTGGCTGACCTGGGTGAAACATGTTGGTGTGTCACTGACCAGCTCACCACTAATTGGCCTCCTTTGGTGGTAGCTCAGCAGAGGTGAAGGAGTGAATAATTTGGGTCTGGAATCAAATTCCCCCTTCTGCCTTAGGAGCGGGCTGGTCCTTTCAGCTGAGGGCTGGAACAGACATTCCAGGGAAGATTCCCACTCACAGCCAAGGAGAGAGGCTGCATAGGAGAGCTGTTAAGGGACTTGGAGAAGATGCTGTGACTTGTACTGATTATGCAATCTATCGAAACCAAACATCACCGGTGTTAACTACGAGATAAACATCAGGCATCTCTGAAGTGAATGTACCACAACACAAATAAAAATAATAAGTGAGTCTCAGCTAAACCAACCTGCAGAAGATTTACCCCACACACCTAAGGCTGATTCTCATCTTGCTTCCAATGCAGGTCTCTGCAACCTGATTATAGCCTGGTTTCGAAGTGTGTTTTCAGTATTAACTCCTGTGTAATTGGTAGCCCCTTCCCATGGATTACATTGTTTGAGAACCAGGTCCTCAGCTGGTGCAAGTCAGCCCTGACATGAATGGCGCTATGCTGATTTAGGCCAGCTGAGAATCTGGCCCAGCATTTTAAAACATCTTTACG